AATTTTGATTTAAATTTAATAAATTTTAGATAAATTTAGAAAAGTTTTATAGTTCATTCTTTTATTTTGTTAAAATATTTAATAATTCAACATTTAAATTTTGTCGATTGTTATTAAATATAAAATTAGGAACTAAGTTATATAAATTTATGTCTCTAGATTACAGCATCAATATCCAATACAAACTAATCGTATACTGTATACCTTAGAAGTTAAATAAGTTGAGTTTGTATAAAATTTTTATTAAAAATAAAATACGTATAACTAGAGATAAGCAAATCAAATATTTTTTTGAATATACTGCGGCCCACATTATAGTTTACTGCTAATACAGGCCAGAATTGTGAAATTCAGAAATGGATTGAAATTCAGAAATGATCCACCTGCGCAGCATCCCATTCCTATATATCACAAACTATAATATAATATGGAAATTTTTAGAAAATTTTAGTTAAAATTGATAATTTTAGATATAAATTCAACAGTATTTAAAAATTTTAGAAAATTTGAGTTGATACTTGGAATTTTGAAAATTTTAGATCTAAAATTTTACAGGTCCCTGGTTGTGCTACAATGTCCGTGCCATTTTTACCATGCTATTCTGTAAAACGTGCCTGTGTGTGCCACACAATCCATGCCACTTCGTACATTCCCGAAACCAACCTGTACCACTTTTCTTATATTAATTTCTTTATAATTAATTCTTACCTCCTTTAACCACAGCACTTGATGTACTGTACATACGACAGCTTCTAATGTTTCAGAACAAGCAATGATCAAACTTATTACACAAGAAATAGAACCAGTAACTGAAATAGAAAGACGAATTAATGCCTGGATTGCCGAGATCCCAGCTTCTGTAATACTGTTTTCAAAATTTTGCTCTCTTCATTTATAATTCTCTGTTGCATTTATTGCATCTTCATAATTATTTTCAATTTTTGCACGATTTTCTTTAAGAACATCATTAACTTTAATAAAATTAAGAATAATTTTGCAGATTTGGTTGCATAATTCTTTTGATGCTTCGTTTTTTTTCAGTCGCAGACAACAATAATTCAAGTTTTTCAATCATTTCTTCATCGGGAATTGGTTTGTTCTTAATAACTTTGATAATCGATTGAAATTCAATAATATAATTAGACAAAATTTCATTATGTTTGATAGACTTTTCAGCAAATTGGTGAAATTCTAAACATTGTTTCCTGACTTCTTTTATTTGATTTTTAATCACTTGATCTTTAGTCTTGGTTTGTACATGTTTTTGAAATATATCTATGCAATTTAGCATATTTTTTTCCAAATCTTTAATTCTCAGAACTGGCATTCTATTTAGTAAGTTGAACATCTTCTTCTCTTTATTTTGCTAAAAATAATGGGTTTGAAAAAGTTGAAATCATGTTTGTTTGCATACAACGGAAATGTGATAAAGTCTTCTAAATTGATCGATAAACTACTGTAAAAATTATATGATCTTTTTATAATTGCTATTTAGCTCATCTAAATAAACTTAAAATAAGTTAATTTAATTATCTAAGATCAAGTGGAGTATGGCTATTAACGATGTTAAAATCTGACTCGGCTTAAGGGTCAATCTAGCCAAATTTAACTGACTCAGAATGTAATACATAAAAACAATTCAAAAATATTTAATTAATTAGGGTTCATTTTAATGTAATTCATCATTATACAGTTATTGGTATATTTGCTTAAACATCATATGAATACTTAATTTGACTTTAACCGTGGCTTTTAATATTCGAAATTGACAGGGCATAGGATCAATTTTCCTGTCATGTGATTTTTGACATCATATAAAAAAATTCATTTACATTAGGGTTTGGGTCTGGGTTTAGGTTAGGGTATGGGTTTGAGAGCTATAGTATAGTAAAATTGCATGAGAAAATTTTTTTGTTAGGGCCAAAAAGGCGATTTACTATATAGTTATTGTGCAAGTTGTAAAAAATATGCACGTGGGTGTTTAAGTCTAAGCCATTATTAAACACCCACGTGTATATTTTTACAACTGCACAATAACGGTATTATTATGAAGCAGTTATTGACAATTTATACTATTTTCTCATATTCGTATATCTATGTCATCGATTTAAACTTTTTCCTTTCATTTGTTTTTTTTTAAGAATGATGCCATTGTTTAAATTAAGCTCCAAAAAAAAAAAAAGGATGATATATAAAATAATGGGAAAATCGGGTACATATTTATTAAATATCACATAAAAATAATCACATCATACAAAAAAATTCTAGAATAAATTAATTAGATAGATATGCAGTTGTACGTAATGAATCCAAAAATGCTTCCCATAAATTAATTTTGCTTTTCCTACGCCAGATATATTTAAATAAATATTTTTTTATTAAATCCTTACATCTATGACGTGATGCAATTTGTAATTTCACACCATTCCAAATACCTTCTATAGTGTTTATATTCACACCTATAATCGGATCTGTAAAATGCTTTGAGTGATTTACCGTTTTATGCTGCATATTTAACCCATCCTCGATACCATTATACCCTCTCCAACAATCAGTGTAAAGTATCGATTCTGGCTCGATGTATTCGTTTAAAATTTTTTTTTTATACTAATAAGATTAGTTTAGTTAATTAAATAACATTAACGAC